GTGTCCATACATTTGTTCTCTACATTTGTGTCTCAATTTCTGCCCTGCAAACCAGTTCATCTGTACCATTTATCTAGGTTCCACATATATGCGTTAATATACGATATTTGTTTTTCTCTTTCTGACTTACGTCACTGTGTATGATAGTATCTAGATCCATCCACATCACTACAAATGACACAATTTCGTTCTTTTTCATGGCTGAGTAATATTCCATAACTTCTTTATCCATTCGTCTGTCTATGGGCATTTAGGTTGCTTCCATGACCTGGCTATTGTAGATAGTGCTGCCATGAACACTGGGGTGCATGTGTCTTTTTGAATTATGGTTTTCTCTGGATATATGCCAAGTAGTGGGATTGCTGGGTCATATGGTAATTCTAATTTTAGTTCTTTAAGGAATCTCCATAGTGGCTGTATCAATTTACATTCCCACCAACAGTGCAAGAGGGTTCCCTTTTCTCCACACCCTCTCCAGCATTTACTGTTTGTAGATTTTTTGATGATGGCCATTCTGACCAGTGTGAGATATCTCATTGTAGTTTTGATTTGCATTTCTCTAATGATTAATGATGTTGAGCATTCTTTCATGTGTTTGTTGGCAGTCTGTATATCTTCTTTGGAGAAATGTCTATTTAGGTCTTCTGCCCATTTTTGGATTGGGTTGTTTGTTTTTTGATATTGAGCTGCATGAGCTTCTTGTAAATTTTGGAGATTAATCTTTTGTTACTTGCTTCACTGCAAATATTTTCTCCCATTCTGAGGGTCATCTTTTGGTCTTGTTTATGGTTTCCTTTGTTGTGCAAAAGCTTTGAAGTTTCATTAGGTCCCATTTGTTTATTTTTGTTTTTATTTCCATTTCTCTAGGAGGTGGGTCAAAAAGGATCTTGCTGTAATTTATGTCAGAGTGTTCTGCCTATGTTTTCCTCTAAGAGTTCTATAGTGTCTGGCCTTACATTTAGTTCTTTAATCCATTTTGAGCTTATTTTTGTGTATGGTATTAGGGATTGATCTAATCTCATACTTTTACATATACCTGTCCAGTTATCACAGCACCACTTACTGAAGAGGCTGTCATTTCTCCACTGTACATTTCTGCCTCCTTTATCAAAGATAAGGTGACCACATGTGCGTGGGTTTATCTGTGGGCTTTCTATCCTGTTGCACTGATCTATATTTCTGTTTTTGTGCCAGTACCATACCGTGTTGATTACTGTAGCTTTGTGGTATAGTCTGAAGTCAGGGAGCCTGCGTCGTCCAGCTCCGTTTTTCTTTCTCAAGATTGCTCTGGCAATTCGGAGTCTTTTGTGTTTCCATACAAGTTGTGAAATTCTTTCTTATAGTTCTGTGAAAAATGCCAGTGGTACTTTCATAGGGATTGCATTGAATCTGTAGATTGCTTTGGGTAGTAGAGTCATTTTCACAATGTTGATTCTTCCAATCCAAGAACATGGTATATCTCTCCGTCTATTTGTATCATCTTTAATTTCTTTCATCAGTGTCATAACTTTCTGCATATAGGTCTTTTGTCTCCTTAGGTAGGTTTATCCCTAGATATTTTATTCTTTTTGTTGCAGTGGTAAATGGGAGTGTTTTCTTAATTTCACTTTCAGATTTTTCATCATTAGTATATAGGAATGCTAGAGATTTCTGTGCATTAATTTTGTATCCTGTTACTTTACCAAATTCATAGCTCTAGTAGTTTTCTGGTAGCATATTTAGGATTCTCTATGCATAGGATCATGTCATCCTCAAACAGTGACAGCTTTACTTCTTCTTTTCCGATTTGGATTCCTTTTATTCTCTGATTGCTGTGGCTAGGACTTCCAAAACTATATTGAATAATAGTGGTGAGAGTGGGTAACCTTGTCTTGTTCCTGATCTTAGTGGAAATGGTTTCAGTTTTTCACCATTGAGGACGATGTTGGCTGTGGGTTTGTCATATATGGCCTTTACTATGTTGAGGAAAGTTCCCTCTATGGCTACTTTCTGCAGGATTTTTATCATAAATGGGTGTTGAATTTTGTTGAAAGCTTTCTCTGCATCTATTGAGATGATCATATGGTTTTTATTCTTCAATTTGTTATTATGGTGTATCACATTGATTGATTTGCATATATTGAGGAATGCTTGCATTCCTGGGATAAACCCCACTTGATCATGTTGTATGATCCTTTTAATGTGCTGTTGGATTCTGTTTGCTAGTATTTTGTTGAGGATTTTTGCATCTATATTCATCAGTGATATTGGTCTGTAATTTTCTTTTTTGTAGTATCTTTGGTTTTGGTATCAGGGTGATGGTGGCCTCGTAGAATGAGTTTGGGAGTGTTCCTCCCTCTGCTATATTTTGGAAGAGAATGAGAAGGATAGATGTTAGCTCTTCTCTAAATGTTTGGTAGAATTCGCCTGTGAAGCCATCTGGTCCTGGGCTTTTGTTTGTTGGAAGATTCTTTTATCACAGTTTCAATTTCAGTGCTTGGTCTGTTCATATTTTCTATTTCTTCCTGGTTCAGTCTTGGAAGGTTGTGCAGTTCTAAGAATTTGTCCATTTCTTCCAGTTGTCCATTTTATTGGCATAGAGTTGCTTGTAGTAATCTCTCATAATCCTTTGTATTTCTAGTGTCAGTTTTTACTTCTCCTTTTTTTTTGTAATTCTGTTGATTTGAGTCTTCTCCCTTTTTTTCTTGATGAGTCTGGCTAATGGTTTATCTTCTCAAAGAACCAGCTTTTAGTTTTATTGATCTTTGCTATTGTTTTCTTTGTTTCTATTTCATTTATTTCTGCTCTGATCTTTGATTTCTTTCCTTCTGCTAACTTTGGGTTTCTTTTGTTGTTTCTCTAGTTCCTTTAGGCGTAAGGTTAGATTCTTGAGATTTTTCTTGAGGTAGGCTTGTACAGCTGTAAACTTCCCTCTTAGAACTGCTTTTGCTGCATCCCATAGGTTTTGGGTCATCGTGTCTCCATTATCATTTGTCTCTGGGTATTTTTTGATTGCCTTTTGATTTCTTCAGTGATCTCTTGGTTGTTTAGTAACGTATTGTTTAGCCTCCATGTGTTTGTGTTTTTTACGTTTTTTCCCCTGTAATTCATTTCTAATCTCATAGTGTTGTGGTCAGAAAAGATGCTTGATATGATTTCAATATTCTTAAATTTTCCAAGGCTTGATTTGTGACCCAAGATGTGATCTATCCTGGAGAATGTTCCGTGTGCACTTGAGAAGAAAGTGTAATCTGCTGTTTTTGGATGGAATGTCCTATAAATATCAGTTAAATCTATCTGGTCTATTGTGTCATTTAAAGCTTCTGTTTATTTTCATTTTGGATGATCTGTCCATTGGTGTAAGTGAGGTGTTACAGTCCCCCAGTATTATTGTTACTATCGATTTCTTCTTTTATAGGTGTTAGCAGTTGGCTTATGTATTGAGGTGCTCCTATGTTGGGTGCATGTATATTTATCAGCATTATATCTTCTTCTTGGATTGAGCCCTTGATCATTATGTAGTGTCCTTCTTTGTCTCTTCTCATAGTCTTTATTTTAAAGTCTGTTTTGTCTGATATGAATATAGCTACTCCAGCTTTCTTTTGCTTTCCATTTGCGTGGAATATCTTTTTCCATCCCCTCACTCTCAGTCTGTATGTGTCCCTAGGTCTGAAATGGGTCTCTGGTAGACAGCGTATATATGGGTCTTGTTTTTGTATCCATTCAGCAAGCCTCTGTCTTTTGGTTGGAGCATTTAATCCATTCACGTTTAAGGTAATTATAGATATGTATGTTCCTATGACCATTTTCTTAATTGTTCTGGGTTTGTTTTCGCAGGTCCTTTTCTTCTCTTGTGTTTCCCACTTAGAGAAGTTCTTTTAGCGTTTGTTGTAGAGCTGGTTTGGTGGTGCTGAATTCTCTTAGCTTTTGCCTGTCTGTAAAGCTTTTCATTTCTCCATCGAATCTGAATGAGATCCTTGCTGGGTAGAGTAATCTTGGTTGTAGGTTTTTCCCTTTAAGTATATCATGCCACTCCTTTCTGGCTTGTAGAGTTTCTGATGAGAAATCAGCTGTTAACCTTATGGGATTTCCCGTGTGTATTATTTGTCATTTTTCCCTTGTTGTTTTCAATAATTTTTCTTTGTCTGTAAGTTTTGCCAATTTGATTACTATGTGTCTTGGCGTGAGTTTATTTCCATTTTGTAGGAAAATTCATTTGTGTCGTATTTGAGATTCCACATATAAGTGATATCACACGGTATTTCTCTTTCTGACTTCACTTAGTATAATCTCTAGGTTCACCCTTGTTGCTGCAAATGGCATTTTTTTATGGCTGAGTAATACTCCATTGTATATATGTGCCACATGTTCTTTAGCCATTCCTCTGTCAGTGGACATTTAGTTGGCTTCCATGTCTTGGCTATTGTAAATAGTGCTGCAATGAACACAGGGTTGCATGTATCTTATTGAATTAGCGTTTTCTTTGGATATATGCCAAGGAGTGGGATTGCAGGATCATATGGCAAGTCTATTTTTAGTTTTCTGAGGAACCTGCATACTGTTCTCCATAGTGGCTGCACCAATTTACTTTCACACCAACAGTGTAGGAGGGTTCCCTTTCTCCACATCTTCTCCAGCATTTGCTATCTGTAGACTTTTTTTTTTTGGTTTTTTTTTTTGCGGTACGCGGGCCTCTCACTGCTGTGGCCTCTCCCGTTACGGACGGAGCACAGGCTCTGGACGCGCAGGCTCAGTGGCCATGGCTCACGGGCCCAGCCACTCCGCGGCATGTGGGATCCTCCCGGACCGGGGCACGAACTTGTGTCCCCTGCATCGGCAGGCGGACCCCCAACCACTGCGCCACCAGGGAAGCCCTCTGTAGACTTTTTAATGATGGCCATACTGCCTGGTGTGAGGTGATACCTCACTGTAGAAGAACAACTGACTTTAGACAAACCCCCTCACCCCTGAACCCAAAGCCCTTCTACTCCCTGCTTGTCTGATTACTGGGCAGAATGGTATGCTAATGAACTTGTCTTTTAGGTTTTTAATCTCTGGAGAACTAAATATTATTTATTTCTCACCCTAAAAATACAATTTTTTTGTTTTTATCATTTTTGTGTGGCCTGTTTTTACAGTTTTTCTGTGGGAAATTAGCATTAACAAAAATATAAAAAGTCTCTGTACTGTTGTCCCAAATACATAAAAGGCAGATAGCATGTAACAGCTTCCCAGAACAAATGCAGTCACTGCAAGAAAAGGAGAAAGGAGTTTTGTGGTATGGTCAGAGAAAGAATGATAAATAAGAACGCTCAATTTTCCCTAATAGGGCAAAACCAGGAACATCTTCCCCCAAGGTATACCTTACATGGTTCAGTGATTCCCAGAACTCTATCAAAGCAAATCAGGGAAGTGGAACATGATATTTAGAGATGTGAAGTCACTTGGCCAAAGCTGATGAGTGGTAAGAACAATATTTTTTAGGTAACATTTAGTTAGTACGTGTTATGTGGCAGGCTCTAAGTACCTTATATGTTTCATATAATTCAATCTTCAAAACAACCTTATGTTGTAAATCTATTAATAGGTATTTTTCTGTACTAATGAGTGCACTAATGAGGTAACAGATGTCACAAAAGGCTACATAATTTGTCCACTGTCATTCAATTAAAAAGTGGCAGAGCTGAGATTAGACCAGGCAGGGTCAGGGGGCCAGCCAGTCGTCTTAGTTTGCTTTTCAGCACGTCATTGTGTTAATGGCTGTGGGGGAAACTCTGAGTGATAACCAGGTGGGTGCAGTATTGTGGCTGGGATAGAGGTCTTGGAAGTCATATGACCTTGGTTCAAGAACTGGCCCCTTGCCTATAATGTGTCTTTGGGCAAGTCACTCAACCTGTCAAAGTCTGTTTCCTCAAATGAGTACAAAGCAGAGTGAATAATGAATAAATGTTAATTAGTATAAATAGCTGTGAAAGCAGGCAGGAGTGAATATACAGAGAGGAGAGCTTAGATCATACTGTAGTTTGAATAATTTTTAAATTCCCAATTGATAATGCAGAGTTTCAAATCAGAAAGCAGAAGGTCAGGGATAAGACAGAAGGTGGGGACAACAGCAGTTTCTCTTTCTGGCTCAGACTTCTTTCACTTCTATAGTGACTACCACATTGGGCCTTGAAATGGACCACTCCTTAACACTGAGTCTTCAGAACTAGAATGTCCAGTGACTTGGGATATAAAGATAAATTCCTGAACCTGGAAATGATCAAGTTTTGCTTCTATACCAGTTACTTCAGATGCTTCCTTTGTATTGTTTTTTAATGGTGGCCAAGCAAAGTGACTTGCCTGCCTTCTCCTGCAAAGGAAGAGGGATGATCTTAAGTATCCCATTCTGGGTAAGTAGTGCTCAGCTCCTGCTATCACACACTTTCTCCTCCTGAAACCTCCAACACCTTCTCTTCCATCCTTACTCTGGATAAGGATCTTGCTTCTTATTTCACTGAGACAATGGAAGCATCTGAATAGAACCACCACATGCTCTCTCCACCACATCTCCCCCATGCTGTGCATCTGTGTGCACACTCGGCCTTCTCTACTCTAACCAGGGAGACCACTCTGCATCTATGTAAGGCCACTCCTCCATCCGGGCATAAGGGCCCATCTCCTCTTGTTCCTGCATCTCGTTCCTTCCATCTCTTGGCTCAGTCCCATCAGTATACACACATGCTGTTATTTTTCCCTTAAAAAAATTCTCTTTTCTATTGGAAAAAGATAAACACAGATTGAGTTATGCCATTAAGGCACTACTGTTAATATTGTCACTGTGATTATAATTTTAAGTTCTCATCTAAAAACAATATATACGAAAGTTATCAGAGGTGAAACAATGATTCTTTAAAATACTCCAATCAGAAAGTTGTAGCTGAAACAAGATTGTCAAAATATCAATAGCTATTGAAACTGGGAAACGAGTACATGTATCAATAGGTCCATTTTCCTTTTCCCTCTATGCTTGTGTATGCTTGAAAATATACATGGAAAAGGTTAAAAACATCATCTTAATTCCACTTTCTCTCCAGCTATTACATGCTTTGCTTCCCTTTATGGTGATACTCCTTGAAATAGTATATTCACTGACTCTGATTTTTTTTCCTCCTATTCTCTTGAACTCCTTTATTAGGCTTTTTTCCCTTACCATTTCAGCAAACTTGCTTAAGACCACTAATGACCTCCACATTGTTAAATCCAGTGGTCATTTGTCAGTCTTCATCCTACATGATGCATCAAGCGTGATTTGACAGCTGATCTCTCCTTCCTCCTTGAAACACTTTCTCCACCTGACTTCCAGGACTGCAGCTTGTGGGGGACTTGCAGTTGTCAACAGTACTGATATTGTTCCTTTAGCTCATTAACTCCAATGAGTAAAAATGGTTTCTGAATAGATTTGATTTCCATCTGGTGTTAATTACATACAAGGAAAGGATGTGCTCAAGGGCACAATGCAATGTTGGCAGCTGGTCACAAGAGTGAGGCTGGGAGTGAGGGCAGTATCATGGTGGCAAGAGTTGTTACTTTTTTTCTCTCCCCTTCAACTATTAGACATCTGTAACAGAAAGTGCCTCTGCACACACACCAAGACACGCAAGAGATGCATCCACTTGTGCATCTGAAAGTGGATGGGTTGGATCTTGGAGAAGACCACAGAGTCAAGGGAGTTGCAGTGGTGGTGGCAACAGTCTCTCTGGCAGAGGAGGTGGAAAGTGAAAGGGGTGACAGTCTGCCTGGCGATGTGGGTGGCAGCTGGAGGGCCCTATTGTTCTGTAGCAACACCTGAGTCCTGAAGAGAGACCTCTGTAACCAGGAGGATGGAAAGGAAAGAAGGCAGCCAAAGACAACCGAAGGTATGGGTTTCCTGCCATGTGTCCTGGAATTCCATCAAGAAGTCCCCCTACGCACTGCTGGAGCTCCCCCAGTAGAAGATCCCCCTACCAGGCCATGGGCATACTCAAAGCTCCAAGTGTTTACCCCCCCACCCCCCAGTCTGTCACCAGCCTTTGTTCTTTTTTTAACACCAGCTTTTTTATGCACATGCTCCCAACTTAGCTCCAGTAAGTCAAACTTGTGCTATATTGCCACCTTCTGGAAAGCAAAAGAAAGGCTTCTTATTGCCAACCTGTTTATCAGAATCAAAGCAAACAAAGCCTTACCTAAGTAAGAAAGGTATTTGTTACTTCAAATGAAAATGTGCAGAGGCACATTTCATCAAACACTATGAAAAACTCGTCGTAATATGGCAAAAGTAAAAATAAAGACACAGAATACTGTGATCTACCTTATAAAGAATTCAAAAGAGTTGTCATGAAGAAATTCAACGAACTTTCAGTGAACTGAGAATGAAATTAATGAACAGAAGGAATACTTTACCAAGAGAATGAAGTTCTAAAGAACCAAACAAATTCTGGACCTGAGGAACTCACACAGGAAATGAGATGAAGGCTGCATTAAAAACATTGGAAATAGAGCAGATCGCATGGAAGAGAATTAGCAAGCCAGAGGATAGGACTTTGGAAATGATTCAGGTGAGGGAAGCAGTCAAGATGGTGGAGTAAAAAAACCCTGAGCTCACCTCCTCTCACAGGCACACCAAAATCATAGCTATCTGCAGAACAACCATCAATGAAAAAGAAGAACCTACCTAAAAGGTCTTCTATAACTAAAGAGATAAAGAAGGAACCACAACAGTTAGGAGGGGGCAGAGTCGCAATATAGTCAAGTCCCCTACATATGGGTTGGCAACCCACAAATGGGAGAATAATTACAATTTTTTTTAATATCTTTAGGTACAGTTGCTTTACAATGGTGTGTTAGTTTTGCTGTATAACAAAGTGAATCAGCTATATATACACATATATCCCCTCTCTCTTGCAGTTTCCCTCCCACCATCCCTATCCCACCCCTCTAGGTGGTCACAAAGCACCGAGCTAAGGGAGAATGATTACAATTGCAGAGGTTCTCCCAAAGGAGTGAGAGGTCCAAGCTCCATATTGGACTCTCTAGCCCAGGGATTCTACACCAAGAAGATGAGCACCTAGAGCATGTGGGTTTGAAGGCCAGCAGTGCTTACTTTCAGGAGTCCCAGAGTCTGTAGGAAATGAGAGACTTCACTCTTAAAGGGTGTGCACAAAATATCACACACTCCAGGACCCAAGGAGAAGCAGTAATTTGATAGGAGCCTGCTGATCTTGGAAAGTCTCCTTGAGGAAAGAAACAACTGCAGCTCATCCTGGAAACATAGACACTGATGGGAGCCATCTTTGGGAGCTCCTTCTACCATGTGGACACTGGTGCTAGCAAGTGCCGTTTTGGAATCCTCCCTCTAGCTTACTGGCCCCAAGATCCAGCAACTAACTGGGTGTGACCACAGTCCCACCCACCAGTGGACAGGCTGCCTTAAGACCCTCTGAGCCCCCAGCTGCCTCTGGATGTGGCCCTGTCCACGAGAGGACCCAGGACCCAGCCCCGCATGCCAGTGTGCAGGCACTACCCGATGCCCCCCAGGACCCACTCTCTAGGGCACAGACACCAGCTGCAAGAAAACTGTAGCCCTGCAGCTTGCAGACCCAGCAGGCCAGACTCTGCCCAGGGACCAGCTGGGCCCTGGCCACCAGCAGGCCAACACAAGCTTCAAAACACCCCAGGTCCCAGAGCCAATTGTGTCAGGAACTGGCCCCACTCATCAGCTATTTGACCCCAGTTCTGGGACCCCTGGGACCTGCAACCAGACCCCAGGACCCAGCTTCACATGCAGTGGGTGGACAACAGCCCGGGGGTCTCCTGGACCCTGACTCTGCCCACCAGTAACCCAGCATTAGCCTAGAGAACCTGTGGGGTTCCACAGTCAGCCGCCTCATGACCCAGTCCTGCCAACCAGCAGCTGGCAGCCTCCACAAAAGGTAGGACCTGGCAACCAACCAGGCTAGGGGCCAACCAAGCCTACCAGACTGACCACACAGTCAGCCTACCAAGACAGGAAGCCCCACACAGCTCTCTAGGAACCCCTAGCACATATAGCTCTGGTGGCAAGAAGGGAGTGCACTGCTCAGATGCATAGGACATCTCTTACAAAAGGCCACTTCTCCTGGGCTGGGAAATGTAAAGAACAAATTAGGCAAAATGAGGCAACAGATGAGTATGTTGCAAACAAAGGAACAAGATAAAACTCCAGGAGAACTAAGTGAAGTAGATAGGCAAT